TTTATTTATTTATTATTATTATTTTTTTGTGTGTGGGGGTTGTTGGGGGGCGGAGGTTTGGGTTTGGGGGGAAAATAATAATAATAATGACCAATTGAGATTTCGTTGAACATTCAGGGACCGTATATGAAATTAATCTTTCTATTATTAGCCAAACAAGCTCAGAAGCTTTATAAACCGGGCACGTTAGTCCTAATTTCTCGAACATTCAATTCTCTGTCCATAAATCTAAGGTTTCTCATCGCAGCAAGATTTGTTATTGTGTTTTATAACACCATTAATATTGCTGTTAACCTCAGAATCTCCAATCTGTAAACCATGGATGCTCAGAGAGCTTTGCTTGATGAACTCATGGGCACAGGTTTGCACTTTTCCTTAAACCCTAATTTATCAATTCTCAATTCTAGGCTACGTTCCTTAATTTTCATTAAAATGTAATCAATTTTCTTGTGAGGATAAAATTTAGATCAATATACTTCCAAAACCCTAGAACTTCAATTGGCGAGATCAAATTTGAGCGATGTAATTTGGACTATCAAAGAGAATGTGAACTAATATATCCCAGAAATCCGATTTGGAGTTTTCCAACATCGGCAGGCACAGTCTGAACTATGTAAATCATCTGAATTGGGTCTTTTCTTGATTGATTTTCACTGATTTGACATCTCATAGACAATGGAACCATGACATTTTTTAAGAGCCTCCATTTTAAATTTATGTGTTTCGTTTTCTGCCATTGACTTTCTACCTTGCCAAAGCAATGTTGAATGCCTGTTCTTATTACCTCTTCTGTTGCTATTGTTTTTGTAGGACGAAATTTGACTGAAGAAGAGAGAAAGGGATACAAGGAAATTAGGTGGGATGATAAGGAAGTTTGTGCATTCTATATGGTTCAATTCTGCCCCCATGATCTTTTTGTTAACACTCGGAGCGATCTAGGTAATGTTTTAATTCTTGTACCTTCATAAAGATGCTTAATTTTTAATTTTCACCTATTGAGAAAGTTTATATAAAAATTAAAGAAATTGAATTCTGAGAATCTACTCTTTTTACATTTTAGCCAATGGTTTTATTACTACAATAATTGTGTTTTTTGCTGAAAGTTTCTTTTGTCTCCCTTTGTACCAGGGGTGTGCCCGAGAATTCATGACCCAAAGTTGAAGGACAGGTAATGTTTGATCATTAGTTTAGGTGTTAATTATCATTTTTTTTTTCAGGATGCGTTCTAAGGGTTGTTCCTGGCTCCTATCCTGCAGTCATTTTTCTTAACTTATGTGCAACTTATTTTAGGAAGATGATAACATGTGCAACTTATTTTAGCAAGGTGATGCTTTTGGTAAGGGGTTAATGTCGCGTACGATAATTATCTTGTGATCTGGATCCATTTAGCTTCTTATGTTCCTCCCCATTTCTTTTTGGGAAAAATCCTGCATTAATCCCCAATATATTCACTTAGTAGTAAATGTGTTACTGTTCTGTTTCTTTTTTCATCCAAGTCCTCTACCTTTTATAGGTTGCAGCAACATCTTTCTTTTCTCTTTCTATTTCGTCTTTTGTGGGGTTTATTTATTTATTTATTATTATTTTTTAAATCAAGTGTTTACCATTTTACCCCCTGAAAATTGACCTTTTTTACAAGTTATGATCAATTGGACAGTGTACATTAACCATAACCATGGTGCTATGGAAATGATAGTTTGGGGACTTAAGTGCCATGAAGATAAATAGAATGGGGACCCATTTGCTTCTAAGTTAATAACTAATGCTGCAATTTTCCCTTCATATTCTATCTTCCTTTTTTCTGCCTCTTGCAACAGTGTACCCGTCATAGAGGTTTTATTTTGGAAGTGACTATTGTTTTGTGTATCCTTTGCTGATAAAGGTTATTAGTTGTGGCTGGCTGGCTGCAATAGATCCTACTTTTGAACATTTAGTATCTTTTGATAGTTGGCATATCAAAAGATTTTCAGGTCAGATGGATGAGAGTTAACTCTTTTCACATAGCTAATCTGTTGGTTTACAGCTATTACTGGGATGGAAAATAAAACTTTCCTTTGTATGAAGTAAAAAAATGTTGCCTTGTGATGGTGTTATATCACCTATAATTGTCCTAGCTTATTTACTGATTTTTTAAAATTCTTTTTCATGAAGGATTGGTTTTTATCTAGCTCAAAAGGATCATAAATTATTTATACATGAACCAACTTATCGTATGAGTCATTTATTTATTCGTTTTCATCCTTGAGTATTTCGTACTTATTTGGATTATTTTACATTGAGTATAAAGTAATCAACATTACAAATGACTCTCGATATACCTTCTTGAAGAGTGTTCCAAAAGGTAATTATCTTTAAGAACAAA